ATCATAAAATCAAACGATTTTATGGTTTTAAATATGTAATTCATGTGACATTATAATTCATCTTATTTTTATATGGTAAGAGAAGATAAGAATTAGTAGTGGCATAATAAGAGAAAAAATATTCCAAATTCACCATTACCTAAAATTATAATTAAGAATTAAAAAACAATGAGAAAAAACTATATGCAGGGTTCATTGGACAAAAAGAAAGAGAAAAAGATAGGTTCTTCTCATCTTTTTCAATTAGACAAAAGTAGTTAATAAAACTAAAATCATAAAGCGCATATTAGTAGAATAAAAACAACGATTTGTTAGTGGCATTGGAAGCAAAAACAGTTCATCCCATATATATATATATATATATATATATATATATTTTGACAATAAAAAATAATTATGATTAATATTAATATATATTTATACTTAAAAAAAATCAAACAACTGAAAAAAATACAATTCACCTACTACCGAAAGATAACGTGACCACCACTAACCTACGTGGAGATATGCGTTCATTCCATATTTTTCAATGGAAAAAGAAGACGAGTTGTTACCAACGAGGGGTTGGATCAAATGGTAAGCGGTTTGTTCTAGCTTAAGTAAGGTTTTGAGTTCGAGACCTTGTGTACGCAGCAGTCCTCACTGGGGGACTCACCCATCATTTTTAGGTGTGCGATGTAAATTGAATTCGAATTAGTCGAGACAAAACCCCAGATTTTTAAAAAAAAAAAAAAAAAAAGAGTTGTTAGTGGCATGACGAGTATAAAAGGCATATCCGGAATCCAAGAGAGAGGTAGATTGTCTCCTCCATTTTCACAAATACATTAAAGTTGAATTTTAAAAAAAAATTCTGACACTAATAAAAGATAGGAGGTAGCTAGTGACATAATGAGACTGCCAGCGTATTCCAAAGCATAATTACCTAACATCCCAATCAATAATTAAAAACAAAGGGGTAAATGTGTTAATATGATAGAATTTTGTATAGTAAAGATAGAAACATTAAAGAAAAAAATAACAATAATGATAAATAAGATAAAAAGTTAAAATTAAAATTTGA